TTATGAATTAAAAACGGAAGATGAGTGTTGCGGGGTTGAATGAAATACGCTAAAAAATAAATAAATACGAGGCAATAGCTTATTTCTTAAAGGCGGCTTTTTTTTGTTAGGTCTCAAGTGACCAATAAGTCTCCAATTATAAATTTTTTGTATAAATTTCAATTAACGAATTTTTCTAACTTAATTTAAATGATTTTTACTTACTGCTTTTATAAAATGGTTCTAATAAATGAATGAAATTCGCTAGTAACTCTCTTGTTAATTTGCTTACCAGCTCACTCGTCGCACATTCTACAGCCACTAGATGTTGGTGTTTATTGCCATGTCAAAAGAGTTTGGCGCAAATTACTTCAACAGTTTTATGCAAAGACAAAGTTTAGCAACTTATCAAAAGAATGTTTCAGTAACCTGCAAAAAAAACTTTTCAGCTCTGGTGAAGTTTTTACACGTACCCAGATAGTTACTGGGTTTCAGAATACTGGTTTGTTTCCACTCAACAACGATAAATTCAATCAGTCAAAATTGCAGATTTCTAATACATTTGAAACACCGAAATCTGAACCTAAGCCTTCATCATCTCAACAACCAGAATCTATGTTAATGCCATCACCAAATCTAGCACCAGGAACTATACTACCTCAGCCACTACCCTCTGAATCTACACCAACAACATCTAGCATCAGGATATGTCACATAGCATCAGCTTCAAAGTCATCTCAAAAGACACCTTGTCTGCAAACGACCTTCAATATTGTAGTAACTCCGCCTATTCAAAAGGAAATTCAAAAAGAGGTTGCAAAACAACTGCAATCAGCCCAATCAATTGGATCAGCTTTGCAACAAATGTTTTGTATTCAACATGTTGACACACAAAAAAGAAAAAATGTAGTTGTGCCAAGATTCGAAGGAGAGTGTCCTGAAATACTTAAAAGGTTGAAAGATGCTGAGAGAAAAAAAGCAACAAAGCAAGCTAAAAAACAACCTAAGCTTAGCTCTAATGGAGAACAGCAAATAAACCAAGCAACAAGTCCAACGAAAATATTAGCTGCAAACCAATTTAAGTGTAAAAAGTGCCGAAAAGTTTTGGGCGAAACTTCAGCAAGTCAAATTATGGAATGGTGCCAGTGTGAAAACTCAAATTGCAAGGTTTGGCAATGTCAAACATGCATACCAAAGTGATACGTAAAAGGCGCTGAGTTTTATTGCTACAAAAAGTGCCGCACAAGTGAAAACTCAACTCAACCTCTAGTACCTCTAAACGGCTCAACATCATCACAAGAATAAAAAAGTTTACTTTATTTGATTGATTTTTTTAATTGTTACTACTGATTGTTTTTTTAATTGTTATTATTGATTGCATTTTTGTTTTTTTAATAAAGTGATGTTTTAATTATTTTTTAATAAAGCGTTGTTTTAATTATATTTGCGTATTTTATTTTCCCTGAATGTTTATGTAGAATGGAATAATTTTTTTTTTAATCAAATAAAGTTTCATAAAAAACTTTACAAAAAAAGTTGTTAAAATGTTATATATTTAAATACAGCTCATTACAAGGAAAAATCTTTTTTCCGTAAAAAATTAATAATTAAAATCCTTAACTATTTCATTTGACCCCATTTTAGTAAAATATTTTCTAACATTTTCTGTTAAATATGATATAGAGTAAAATATTTACTCTATATTATATTTAACAGAAAATGTTAGAAAATATTTTATAAAAAGTACTTTGAGAAAATGTTTCATAAAACCTCTACGAATTGAAAATATTAAAATACGTCTAATAGACGTAGCTTATTTAGTTCCAAAGATAGACGGTGTATCTTTGGAACTATTTAAGCTACAAAAGTGGTTTAAACAATTTTGGAAATGAAATATATTAAAGTATCCAATGCATTTGAAATATTTTTATTTTAAATATTCACATTCGCTAAAAAAGTTGAATAAACTCACTAATATAAAATAATTTAGAGTTTACACTTTTCTAAAAAAATGTTATAAATAAATATATTTCATATCTAAAAGTGTCAATTGTACTACTAAAACGTTTTCAAATTAAAAAACACTGAAAGAAAACTCAAATTAAAATTTTATTTTACATACGAATATAATACGCGCTTTGAAATATAGTGATTTTTATAAATTGTGGTATCAAACGATGCTCATTACTGGACATAGTCAAGTGAACTCTTCCGATTCATAAATTTTAATCATTTTCTGTTAAACAATATCTTTCAAATGTTGCCCTTTTTAAACCACAGGTTTATCAAGTATTCCTTTTTCATTTTTCAACTTTTGGGTTTTCTTAACAAAATGTTTTTAAACTGAAAATATTTAGGAAGTTTTTTGAATTGACTAATTATCAGAAGCTAATGAGAGTAACCGCAGTGGCGGATTTAGAATAGAGCGTAGGAAGGGGGGGGCGAGCTGCCCCCACGCCCCCCTAAAACGGTCTAACGGCGCCCCCTAAAACAATTAAAATATATATATATAAGGTTAAACTACTGAAGGCAACCCCGGTCGCCCCTATTTATTGACTTGCCCCCCCCCCCCCCGCGACACTAAACCTCAATCCGCCACTGAGTAACCGAACTTTTTCTTACTCCTAACTTATTTTAACTTTTTTTTTTTTTTTTGCATCTAAAAGTTTGTTAAAGTCATTATAGTTTATGTACTTTTGCTCTTTATCTGATACTATTGTTTTGGGTCTATTAGCCGATCCCATAATTTTTTTTGCCGATCAATTTTTGGAGGTACGGCTAATGAGTGGTGTAAAGGTCATACTTACATATAAAAATATATATTTTTTTTTTGTCGAATAAGACGCAAAACGTTTGAAAAAGTCTAAAAGTTCTTAACAAAAGCCTATAAGATAAAAAAATTTAATTTAATTGCACTTAAAAATTTTAAGTATAGTATATTGGTGTTTGCAAAGAATCGCTACATAAATTATTTTTTAATATAAACTCATTCTTTTCAAATTTGTTGTATAGGCTGGTTTGGCGCTTAATCATTCTTTTGTAATCGCTTTTTGTGATTTTTCACTAAATTTAGACAAACTTCAAAGCATTTGCGCGAACACATTCTAATGTCAAATCTACTTAATTTTTTCAGTGATATTTTCTGTATGCGTTCATGCACTAAAAAAAAACATTGTTCTAATTAATTTAAGAAATATGTAGTAATTATCTTTTACTGATAACGATAGATATTTTAACACTTAGGCTATTTTAAAGTGATTTTTTGTTGGTCTATATGGTTGTTTCTATTTATTCTCGAAAATTTATTATCTTTAATTCATTTTTCTATCAAACGATGTTTTTTTAAAAAAATACTTTAGCTTGAATAAACAGGAGACGGTATAACGTAACTTTTTGAAGCCAGTTTTAAAAACGACCCCCATCCAAACATTTTAAGAAACTTAGAATTTTGCGAAAAACTTAATTAAAATAAAGTCAGTTTATATTTGGCAGCTCATACAACTTTATAAAGAATTATTTGCTAACTGATTGCCTTTTTCAGTTTATTCTAATTACATTCGGAATACTAGATTTATTTCAACATGATACTAGAAGATATTGTATTTCAGATAGTATAAAAGATTCTTGAGAAACTGATTGTTTGTGAGTTGTTACCAATATTTAAACAATTAAAAACAAATATATTTTCATATATGTGTGTTTGTGTCTGTTACGTAGAGCAAACTTTACTGATACTCATAATCAATCAATCAATCAATATATATTTTGATAAAAGATCTTACAATCGAGGTCATTTACAAATAGTTAAAAACTAATCTTAAGTAAATACCATGAAATAGAATTGATAATACAAATATTAATGATAATAATAATGATGATAAAATAAAAGTTATAAGAATAATAATAAAACTATATGGTAATAAACCAATATCAATTTTCAAACAACAATTGAATATAATGTACAGACAGAAAGTAACAAACAGTTATGTACTGATAAAACGTAACAACCTACCATTTATTGTCATGTAAAAAGAGTACCCGTACGAAAATTTCCCATGGGAATTTTAGAAAAAAAACCCATGGAAAAACCATGGGTATTTGGAACACGTTCCCATGAAAAAACCATGAGTTTTCCATGAAAAAACCATGAGTTTTCCATGAAAAAACCATGAGTTTTCCATGGAAAAACCATGAGTTTTCCATGGAAAAACCATGAGTTTTCCATGGAAAAACCATGAGTTTTCCATGGAAAAAACATGAGTTTTCCATGGAAAAACCATGAGTTTTCCATGGAAAAACCATGAGTTTTCCATGGAAAAACCATGAGTTTTCTATGGAAAACACATGAATTTCCCATGGAAAACACATGAATTTCCCATGAAAAATCTTTAAGTTTTTCATGGAAAAGTGTTCCAAATACCATGGATATTCAATGATTTTCCATCCATGGAAAAACCATGGAATTTCCATAGGTATTAGGAACACCTTTCCAATGAAAACTTATGGATTTTTCATGGTAAAAAAGCATGATTTGTTTTCAAGTTTTTTATCTAATGTTATTTGAATTGTCATATTAAATCATAAAAGCAAATTTTATCCCACTATTATTGAGTTCTCTTAATCTATGAGATCGCTTTCTTCAAATAAAATCAATAAACAAAATAAAATTTAAATCTTGTTAAATCCTACAAATCTTTGAAAAATAATAGCTATAATGCACCTAAAACATCAAAACTTGACTTCCCCACAATATTTAATGCACGCATATGTATAACATACTGAAAATAAATAAAACAAAAAATTACAAGTAATATAATACTATAAGTGATATACATAGTGATAAACAATTGAAATTTATCAAATTGAAATTTTTACATTTACAAATTTTTACAAATATCAATTGAAATTTTTACAAAAAATAAAACAATTTACATGTTTATTATTTTATATTAACTATTTGATAAAAATAGTATATATAAATTTGATAATAACTTCAAGTTTTAACAAGTTAAAAAGAACCATCAATACAACATATTTAATTCAAAAAAACATCAAGCCCATTTATAAATGCGTCTGTACTGTATCTGTAGAAACAGGTAGATGTTAAACAAAGTACCATTCACATATTAATATTCATTTTTTTTCACCCTAGTTAGTCTCATTCTCCATTTCACCAATCTAGACAATACATCATACAACTATTATATACATTCTAACTAGTTTTCTTTATTTACTAATTCATTTTACTTATAATTATTATCTATTATAACTTACTTTATAATTAGGCATTATACACAATTATGAATGTTGCCAAATGTTAGGTATATAGAAAAAAGTAGCAATGAATATATCATTATTTATAAATACAAATTATTAGATTGTTACCTCTTTTTTGCCTAAGCTATCTGCATTATGTACAACATCGTTTATATTTCCAGTCAAACATTCCTGCCTATAATGTAACTTTATTAAAATGATTTATTCAAACTAATACATTTATAAATGTTACCTGCATGTTAGAAACATTTATATAGAACAAGGCAGCAACAAATATTATATTATATATTTACTTTTGTAATTAAAAAAAAAAACTTACTTCTTCTTCTGAGCTATCTTCATGATGTACAACATCATTTACAAACCTGTTTTCTTCACGTCCTTCCATTTTTTAATATATTATAAAGCACAGGACTTGTTAATGAATGGCTAAATAAATAAATTAAAAATTTATATTTAAATGAAATGATAAGGTTAAAATGAAAAGATTTATACACATATATAAATTTTACCTGCATGCTAGTAACATTTATATAGAATAAGGCAGCAACAAATATAGTATAACTTATAAATTGTAATTTTAAGTAAAAACTTACTTCTTTGTCTGAGCTGTCTGCATGATGTACAACATTATTTATATTGTCAGTCAAACTTACCTGCTTATTAATGCAGTAATTTAAATAAAATGATAAAGTTAAAATAAAAGAACTTACGCACATACCATTAAATTCAAAAATTTATTATATTTTTACTTCACTATTTAAAACATAACAAATATGTAATCTATAAAGTATAGTAATGTAAAAGCATAGTAAATATCAAAGTGTGTGCAAAAATTAATTTATTTTAACTAAAGACGAGCACTTTACATCAGTTAAATATAAACAAATAAAAATAATTGTATTATAATAAATAATAGTGTATTATTTATAAACATTGCTTTTATATGCTTATATTTAACTATGAAGTAAAATCTTGTGCATTAAGTATATTCCTATACTGATACTTATAAAATATTACCACAGTTTTCCTTCTCCAACTAAGTGGTTCTTGGAACATCCTTACAAGTTGAATCCCAAAGATTACGTTTATATCTTTTCTGGTTTAAACTCAATTCACCATTTTATTTTGACAGCTTTTGAACTATTTTTAAAAATATTAAATGCATATAAAAACTGACGAGGTTATAAACAATATAAACGATGAACAACATTATTTATATTGCCAGTCAAACCTGTTGGCTTATAATGTAGTAATTTAAATGAAATAATAAAGTAAATATAAAAGAATTTATAAACATTATTTATATTACATTATTTACATATTCTAATAATTCTAAAGAAAAAACTACAACAAAAAGACAAAAACAACTTAACAGAACTAAAATTGAATAGAACATTTATCATAAAAAAATGTTTTTTAATACTTAATGAACATTTACGATACAATAAACTTCAAGCATTTTTATGTAATCTAAGGCTATTATAAAAAAAAATAAAAAAGATCATACTAGTTATCTTTTGTACATTAGTTATCTAATCTTATTATCTTAGTTATCTAATCTTATCTAATATACTGCTTGTATATTAATATTTTAAATAAGTTTCTTTAATACTTTCGATAAATTTTATAATAATAATTATACTAGTTTGAATGTACATTAAATTACACTATGTACATTAATACACTAGTTATTTAATGTAGATTAAAACTAAACATTTATTTGTTGTAAACCAAATAATAATTATTTGGCAAATAATTTGCCAAGTAGGCATTAAAATTCAAACTGGTTTACTTGACATACTTGCTATACTATTGCAAGTTATGCAAAGTAAGCAAAGCTACTGGAAACAGTTAAAATAAGTATATGCATAAATGATATATAATAAAATATAATTAAAAATAATCCCTTTTATAATGCATTATAATATGATAAATATATCTAGTTGTTTATGTCTGTATGTTTAGTTAAATCATATAAATGTATTGCATTATAAAAAACATATAATTCATAGCCTTATTAAACACAGAAAAACAGAAGAATGCAGTAAGTATTGTTTTCTAATTTAAAAATAATCATAACTCTACGAGCTATGACGCCATCTTTAAAAGCGCATTTGTAACAACCATGGCGCAGCTTAAGCCATGAAAAAAAAAACATGGTTCACCCATGGAAATTCCATAGGATTTCAATTTTCATGAAATTTACCCATGGAAATTCCATGGAATTCCCGTTTTTCATGGGAAAACCATGGTTTACTCATGGAATTCCATGGGTTTTCCATGGAATATTTCCGTAAGGGTAATGTCAAAAGATGTAGAAAGATCATGTCAAAAACTCTTTTGACATGACAATAAAACAATTACTGCAAAAAATGTAACAATGATTTAATAAATATAATAATCCTAATATCAAAAATCATAATAAAAACAATAAAAGTAAAATAAATACTTCATTAAAAAATAACAATAAATAAAAAAAACAAAAATTATTCAATAATACTCACAAATAAAAACGTTTCACACACACACACACACACACACACACAAACATTTAGTCACGAAAAGTATAAAGTTTTCATAATAAATATTAAAACAAAAAAGTAAATCACATCAAGCAAACACAAATCGTCAGTCAAAAATAATAAAATTTAAAATATATTCTTTTTTCTTTCTTCAAAAACAGAGCGATTTTTATATTTTATTTTAACTCCATTTTCGAATGTTTTTTTTATTTTAACTCTGGTTTTTTGTTTTTCCTTTTTCTTTTCTCGTATTAATATAACAATAGTAGATTGTTTATATATAGTTGAATATAGTTAAATATACATATAGTTAAATTATTAGTATATAGTTAAATTATTACTCTATTGTTAATTTACATTTCTTTTAAACTTTATTAAATTTTCTATTTATTTAAATCATATAATTTTTATTTATTTAAATCATATAATTTTAATCAAAATTTTGTTCGATCATTGAGTTATTTTTAATGATATCATTGTTAATATTATTTATTATAACTGTTTTTGTTTCAAGTTAATTTGCTATTCTTCATAATAATCATACTTACTGTTATTGTTTGCTTTTTACGATTATTATAACCATAGCTACTTTTTTTACTTCCTACATAATACCTCTTACATTCTTTATTCTACTGCAGAAATTACTCATTTTCATTGTTCTACTATCGATTTAAATTTTTATTTGTGTAAAAAAAAAATAAGTCTAAGTTGCCGATCAATTTAATGTGAAAATTGTTCATTTTGGACTCATACAAAATGCAACAGGCTCAATGATTCTGGGTTTAATTTATTACAATTAGGTCGCTCAATGCGACATAGTGTAAATTGTACTAAGAGTATATTTCCATTCACAGATGTACCAGATGACGAACTTAAATTACTATTTTCTTCTAATAAAGTTATTATAACTGACGATTTACCTCCGTCTACAAACATCTTTCCATCGTTACATTTGAATAAAATTTCTAACCAAATTAATGACTATGTTTCATCTCGTGTTTTAGATTCCGATGAAGAAATCTATGCATCACTAGACATAATTTGTAAATATTATGACAGACAAATTTTGTTCCCTGAAGTTTGACGAAATAAACGCTGTTTTTTTTTTATCACCAAAACATTTCATCGCTGTAAAAACACTTTGAGTATTTAAAAATATTTTTATCATTAATTAATTTTAGGTTTTCTATTATTTCTGTTACTGAAACACGTTTAAAAAAGGAAATTCACTTAATTCATCCGATTCTCATAGATAACTACAACATTGAGCATACACCAACTGAATCTTCCTGTGGGGGTACATTGTTATACTTGTCAAAAAAGTTAATATACAAACGAAGAGATGATTTGATGATTTATTCACCTAATATTTTAGAATTCACTTTTGTTGAATTAATTTTTTCCAAAAGATCCAATATTATTGTAGGGGGCATTTATAGACACTCTTGAATGGACATATATATTTTCAATAATATAATGTCTGGATTACTTCTAAAAATATCTGCAGAAAATAAATCTGTTTTCTTATTGGGTGATTTTAATATAGATTTGATACAATTAAGTAATGACATTGCGACCTGTGATTTTTTAAACTTACTTTCTATTTATAATATTCGCCCTTCTATTATTTTGCCAACAAGAATTATTGAACACTCTGCTACAATCATTGACAATATTTTTTCTAATATAATAGCTAATGATACTATTTCTGGAAATTTGACAACTTCTGTCTCTGATCACCTACCTCAATTTTGCATTTGACCCAGATTCAACAAATTATTTATACCACGAAGTCACAAAATATATCGTAGAAATTTTAAAAACTTTGATAAAAAAAAATTTAGATCTGGCTTATTAAAGTGTGATTGGGATGATGATATAAAAAACAGTGACACTAACTCTTGTTTCCATAAGTTTATTACTGAAACAACATCGATTTTGGATCGCTATGCTCCACTCAAAAAGACTAGTATTAAGAGCTTCAAACGTCGATTTAAACCATAGATTACAAAAGGAATCATAAAATCTATTCAAATACGCAATCTTTTTCAAAAAAAAATGTTAAGATCAAAAGATTTAATAAATATAAACACATTTAAAACTATTTTTAAGCGATAGAAATTCATGATAATTACTTTAATTAAACTTAGCAAGGAAATCCATTTTAAAAATTTCTTTTCAGATAATGTAAAAAATTTTCGCAAAATTTAGAAAGGAATTAATAATCTAATAAATGTCAAAAATTATAACAGCTCATCTCCCAACTGTTTACAAGATAATGATAGATATTTAACTGAACCAACTCTAATCTCTGAAAAATGTAAAACTTTTTTTTACAAATGTTGCTCATAAACTTAAATCCAATATTCACTCGTCTTACGTCAACTATCAAAAGTATCTTAAATATTCAAACTTACATAGTCTACTCTTGTCTTCAACAAACATTCCTAAAATTTCATCTCTTATATCTAAATTGAAGCCGAGAAAATCATTAGGTCAAAACAATATTCCTACAAACATTCTTTTTAATTTTAACTACGAATTTTCAAATATTTTCTCTAAACTATTTAATATCTCATTCATGAATGGAACTTTTCCTGATATTTTAAAATTGTCTTGTATTATTCCAATTTTCAAAAGCGACTCTAAACTTTTATGTACTAACTATAGACCTATTTCTCTTTTATCTAACATTAGAAAGCTTCTTTAAAAATTAATGTATTCTAGAATGTACTATTTTCTAAACTCTTTTAATTGTTTAAATGAGTTTCAACTTGGTTTT